ACATAGCCTTAACCAGCTTCGAGTGGTTCTCTCCAGTTTTATAGCCCTGCGCATTGAACTAGGTTGGAACTTAGTGTTTTATCGTACTAACCTGCCGTGTTCCGCTCATTACTCTGCATTGTTGCAACAAGATTAGAATACTGCAGCTATATTCCTTTCTAATAGAAGTGGTTCTTAAACTGCTGAACGCGTTCTGATTAGCCGTCGAGTATCGGTAGCGAAAAAAAGACGTGACGAACTACATTCTTGCATTACACTTATTTATTAAATAATGACATTTTGAAAACTTCACAAAATTTATTAGCTAGAACCCTAACTGTACAGGCTCTTGCCAAAAATAAATACAAAATAGTTTGCCCAGGGAATAAATGGGAAACTCGGTTTTTTATTTCGACACGCTCATGACAAATATTTGAAAATTTTGTGGTTCTTTTTACTGCTCACTTTGCTCGCCTATTTCTTGTTCAAGTTATCTACGAAGGATTACTACCTTTTTTCCACAACCTCCAGTTTTTATTATACAAGCATACATTTACTCTAAAATGACTATTTACGTTGCTGAATGAAGCATCACTGTGCGGTCGTTAAGGTGTCAGCAATCGCTTGCAAAGCTCTTCCAATTTCTCTGTATCACCAATTGCTTCGCGTGACGGAGCGGAGAGTGACTTATTATGGTGAATCCGGTCGGTCAGACGGAAATTAATCGGATTTTCCTATAAGACTCTGTAATATTCTTAGGATCCTCCCCATCATTAGCAGTTAATTGGCAGTCAATTTAGAGTGTCCCGACTGATTCCCCCTTCGTTTCCTCGAAAAATGTGATATCTCCCAAAAATCGTCCGCTCCCCACACACAGGGGATAAAAAATGATCGATCCCTTAAATTTAATTGTCTAACGTTATATGGAGGAATGATCTGCTGGTGTTGTGGATGAGGCCTCATCATGCTAGGAACTATAGCAGTTTATTTTAGACTCTGGAACCAATGTTTCTCTAGGTGTACTACGCCCTTTCCTGGATTTGATTTAAATTCGTCAGTAACAAATGATGGAGATCACGCTCACCAAATTATTTCAACTGACAGTACAGAACGTGGTTATTGTTAATGAAGCAATCAATAATTTGTTAAATTTACATTTTTCAATTTTAAAATTCTAAAACAAGCTTAAATGAACCTTTAAGTAAAACCCGCGCATGTGATATTCTTGTGTTTTTTTTTATGCTGGTAAACAACTTTTTCAGACATTGCATGAGGTACGTTTGACAGAAGGTCACATCCTTTTAGTTAGGTCACCATGTCCAAACTTTGATCTAGGCCATCGACATGGCCAAGGAGCAAAGATGTTTTGATAAAATGGGAAACTTGAGTAGCGAAAGGGCAAATGAGACCCAGATATTGATCTTAGGCTTGTGTCGTGCAAGAGAGGAAAAAAATGCTCTTATCTCCTCTCGTTTCGTGATATTTTCGAAATTTAACGGAGCTGGCTTTGCGTGTCGTGCATTTCAATATTCATGAGAGATTCAAACAATGATGAAAACGTTCGAATACAGATGTGCAAAAAGCCTACGTTTCTGTACTCTGAAATAGAAAGGAAACTGTAATTATCTACTGACATAGCTGTATGTATGTTATGCTATTTTAAACTTGTATTGTTTACATGAACTACTCAATAGGGCGATAGTTTATATAAAAGGGGTTAACGTGTCCTGCTCGAGGGAACAACAAGTGTTTTGAAGTTCGGAGTAGAAGAAAGTCTTATGTGAACACCAGACTGGAGTTTACTTCACGGAGACCAGTGGTGGATCTAGGGGAGGGGGCCGAGAGGCCCAGC